GGGATGATATGGGAACACCCACGCAAAACGGAAAGGTATAGAAGAAGTCCTCGGCGTACTTCGGCGGAGGGGGGGGGGGGGCATTTTGCACTTTCATTGCTTCACTACTTCCGATTTGCCTGTCTCACTCTGATAAAACCCGACTCCTGTGAAGCTGGAGCAAGCTCGTCGAGCCATCATGGTAAAACCTGTCAACTCAAGAAAGGCTCTCTAGATGGGTCGACACGTCGATGGGAAGTAGCAGTAGTGCAAAATGCCCCCCCCCCGTCGCCGAACTGCCCCGAAGTCATCAAAGATAACGAAATGAGTCCTTTCTTTTTTGAGGGTCCGACTGTGTCACCGAAAAAACAGTCTTCGTCCCTGAACGACTTTGCTGATGGCATCGATTTGTCTCCAATAAAAAGGAGTGGATTGAAGGTCTGAACCTTAGCAGCACTTCTGTAGATGTGCTGAGATCGATTTGTGATGTCTGTAGGTCCCATTGAGAGGCAAATCGCGCACTCTTCCTATTTCTACCTCAACACCGATGCCCGGTATACCAAGTCCTAAAGCACAGAGGAAACGACCTAGGGAAGAATCCACTCCACTACCGACAACTGATGATCTCGCAAAATCACCATCTCGCAAAAAAGCAGTAAATGCCGGGAAGTAAGTTCATTTAAATACTCTTTTAAAGCTCCTTTCATTTTTCTGTCTAGATTGCGGACGCGCTCTCAGCTAGCGACGACGCCGAGTGGATCACCTGCCAAAGTGAAGACTGCATCGAAACCGCCTTCACCACCCCGCTTAACGCGAAGTGGAAGGTCACGAGGGAAAGGCCAATGAAAGGCTATCTTATATGTCATTTATGTATGTACAATGAAGTATTGCCATGATAAGAACGACTTTCGATATGATGCGGATTTTCCGAGAGAATACTTGAGCGTGAAACATTTATTACTTTGTCCACCCGTTTTTACAAAATACACAGCCAATTTATGCCTAAACATTTACAAATGCTAGTGATTTGAAATAGTATATCATGTCTAAACAACCCAATAGACTAGCTATGCTTAGCAGTTTGGAGGTTAGCTTTGGCCTTAGTTCCTCCAGCTAAGCGCTCCTTTTGCACTACAGGATCTTCTATTATATGCAAGTAGTTGTGGTTCAAGAAACGACAAAGCTGAAATAGATACTTTTGATACTTGAACTTTTGAAACTATGTACGGTAGGTAATAAAAGTGAACCTGTAGTGATTGTGCCGATAAGTTTGTGAAATGACATGCAAAGAGCAAGAGATTCCGCGGTTGAACATGCCATGCGAACCGCATAAACACGGACGAATACATGCACAGGGCTACTGTCATGTTACCGGAGATCATATCGGGGTTTTTCTGAAACATCCCGCAGTTATCTTCTGCATCAGTAGTAGCTAGGATCCACAACAGACCTTCAGATCAGCTATTGCCGCAAGTGGAATACCCCAATTAGCAGCTGGTCCCCAGAAATGTGTTGACATGAAGTAGTTGGCCCATTCTTTGAAGGTATATCGGCGAAAGTAAGATGTTACTGCCGAGGCAACTTTCGCCATATCTGAAAATTGTAGAGATAGTGAAGTTAAATGTGTGAACGAAACAGATTACGGCGATACGAGTGGCGATAGGATTACGACACGTAAATAAGGATAGAGAGACTGGACCTCTGTATGGGGCATAAGGCGCAACGGCTCAGTTCGGCGAGGAGACGGGGACCTTTCGCGCTTTCGCAACTCTTGTGAAGCTGGAGTGAGCTCGTCCAGTCACCATGGCGAAACTTGTGAACACTTGTAAGCTCATGAAGCAGCTCTCTAGATGGTCGACACGTCGATGGGAACAAACAACAAAAGTGCGAAATGCCCCGCCGTCGGTCGCACAACCTGGCCCCCTCGATTCTGAACCCATAGAAGAGATCGACTAACATGCTGGTATCTAGAACACGTAGCTCGTTCTTTGTCGCAAGAGTCCCTCCACTTTGGGCGAAAAGTTGCGCAAAATATAATAAACCGCCCCCACCAGAAAATGGACCAGTTCGCTGCGGATGAAGGGGCGTGTCAGGGCAGCATGGGTGCATGCCAGTTGTTGAAGCGGATATGCGACAACTGGTTGAAAATGAGTGGTACCGAACGATATGACAGGCTGTAGCTTTGCTCAATAATGGTGGATCGAATAGTATATGCACCGCGCAACTCATCGCCTTAGTAGCCGCGTCCACGGCCCCTTCGTTCGTGCGAACTAGACTGTAGGCTTACGAAAAACATGTGAACACATTAGCTGATGCAAGCCAGCCTTACCGATGAGTGTAGGCCCGCAAAGGCAGAATGAAGTAGGTAACTGGTACTTACTGACGATCTAATGAAATGTATCAGGAAGAAATGGGATGAGATAGATGATAAGACAAAGAAAAATCAAGTCGATATGAAGAGAGGGGTGAGCATTTTGTCGGCGCAATAGCGAATCTTTTTCACCAAGAACAGATTGGCTAACGCCGTTTGGACTCCAGCAACTTCGGCTCTTGGGCTCAGCCTTAGCGGAGCACAGGTAATCGTAGTGTCATCCATTAGCGCCAGCGGCAAGAGTGAATGTCATATTCGTAATCAGGATGTTAACTACCAGCCTAATACAAGTTTTTTTTGAGCTGATTTGGTGAACCTTAGCGCAATTTAACCAAGATGAGCTCGCGGCAGCTGCCGGACAGTTGCTGAAAGTCAAACGGCATTACGCCGAAACAGATTTGGCTAATATGTAGAGTGTAAGTAATTCCCGACCAGCGAAACCCCCTTCAGCAGTTCTAGTAACTGAAATATTGATTCAACCTTACACATTCGCGGCGATAACTCGCGTGTGTCGTTCCCTTGGCATTTTTTCAACATTTTTCTCTTTTAAGAAGTTTTTATCCATTTTTTTTGGCAAATAATGCAGTTTTTTCGCACTTTTTGAATCACAATCAGGCCTTTTTCAAGAACACGGAAAAATATTACGACAGTTAATTATCTTCGTATTATCTGCATTATTATTTGTATATAATTTTCTAGTAAAACGGGAGAAAAATCACAAGAAAACGGCGAAAAGGCGCTTGATCTTCCGTTAGTACATAAATGGCTAGAGAAGTTTTTGCCTGCACTTCTGGGAGTGCACGCCGCTTCGAATGTGCTGAAGACGCTAAGATTAGTTTTAGATGCTGAGAGCGCTTCGTCGCAATTTCGTATGCAGGCAATATGACTAACACTAGACACTTTTAGAACGATAATAAGGACTGGCTGACAAGGCTTGGAAAAGTGGCTTTTCAACCGGGATCACAAGTTCGCCACTTCAACGCAGAATTCGTTTTGCTGTCCCCACAATCACGAGATTCTAACGGAATTAGCAGCTGGGTAAATAGTACATGTTAGAAACTCATAACAGAAAGGTCAAAGGCACGATTGATGGCAGTGTTCCAGGACCACAAGCCTGCCACACCCTTGATAATATACCGAAAAAGTGGGTTGAAATAACCGCCATTTCGTGCGTAGAATCTTTCTCCTGTGTTATCTCATCGTAAGTTTGGCCAAGATCCACGCCACCGTGGTATCTCTGGCCGCAAAACGTCAGAGCGCAGACGTCCAGAGGACGACATGTGTCGTAATCAGCTGAGCGCCGCGAAACAACACATTATGAACAAGGGCAGTGGATTGCACTCAATCGGCGCAACATGGGAAGGGTGAAGCCCGTTCGCGAAGAGAATCATGTCGGAATCAGTTCTGGTCACGGAGAGCTAATTCAAGTGCGACGCAGATACATTATTAATAGTGACATCGTTTGTGCACGAATTTCGACAACAGTTCGACTTTACTGCAACTCTTAGGGCTCACAGAGCTGTCAATGTCGCCATCCCTCCATCAGCACCATCTGCTTAATGGTAGCAGCCATGGACATGACAACAGGAACGATCCCGGGAGTAGTCCCAATGCGTAGATATATGGGCAGTGAGTCCTTGTAGATCTCATATACCAAGTAACCTTACATTGATAGCGTAAGATGTCTCTGAAAAACCAGGCCATGAGGCGCTTCTCTGGAACAGCTATACAGCCCCATAGGTTCGCCGAGGCCTCGATGCAGAAGAGCATGCTGGCTCGGCGAGTCAGCAGTCAGGGCTCAACTCGGAAGTGCGAAAGCAGTGGTTCGAAAGGCCCGTCGAGTGCTTTGTGTGACATAGAGCTTAGTGAGGGATGCAGACAGCAGCAGTAATTAGGAGTGGGTGACTGAGCGAAAGGAGCTACGTAAAGACCTCTGAGGGCTTTTAAGCGCCACCTCGAGAGGCAGCGGAAGAGAGAGAATAGAAATCGGACAACCTCCTCCGGCCCCACCCACCATCATTGACTTCTGAAGGAACCTATTCCGATGTTGTGTATGCATATCTTCTACTCATTTCAGTGCAAGGTTATGGGACTGCCTCATTGCGCTATAACAATGAGAAAGCCATCGTTCACGGGGACTAAACACATCAACGCTAATTCTCCCTCTTGACCGAACAAAGAAGCACGCAACTACCTCTGTTCTGCTGTTCTAAACAATTCTATGCCGGTCACTCGTCAGTATGCACTTCAGTGTCTTGAATTGGATTGCTAATTACACGGACTCTGTCAGCCGGATGTTATCCCGCTGCCAGGGGCCAGAGGTGCTTCTGGCCGAGCATTACAAGGACGGAAGGAAGAGGGAAGAGTAGGGAGGGAGGAAGAAAGGAAAAAAGGGAGAGGCTTGTATATGGTGAGGCTTTAGATGGATGAGACCATCAGCAACGATCCCAGTTCCCAAAGCAGATCTGGGCTTCGTTTCGAGGGCTATTCCTTCAGTTTAAACCCTTGCCGGAGGATCCTCACCATAAGCAGACATATCGGTGACTTTTCATACATGTCCGGCTCAAATGGTTGCCTACGTGAAAGCTGTGGAGCTTCGAAGACAGTG